GCACTACTCATTTCGAGTGGTTCATCAGTTTGCTTGTTTGTTTTGTAGGTCTAGATGCATTCGGACCAGGATACAGTGGATTGGAGTATGATTATCAGGGTCTTCAAAGTGTCTATCGGGAAATGAATAATATTGATAAAATGAGGGAGTATATCCAAATCTTTGACGAATGGTATGAGTACCGACAGCATCACGTGCCCCTGTTTTCTAGCGCTATTGTCGAGGACGCAATGAAAGATTACCTTGAGCCTTCTTCTCCCTCTGTTACGCATCTGGACACCATATGGAGAGAATTCCGCTACATATTTGAGACGCAGTTGGGTGGAGTCAGAAATTGAAGGGGTAGGCAGCTGCACCAGAGGATTGTAGATGCCTCTTGTAAATAGTGGCTTATTGGCTTCAAGCTCTGTGCTTTCACTCAAGCACTGTTTTTTTTCTATTGTATTATTATTTAGAATGAAACCTGAATGATAGTTGTTTTGAATACTTCAAATTGCTTTCCATATTCGCATATTTTCTAATTGCTTTTACTAAGAAGGTGACAAACCTACTATTCAAGTTGCTGGCACGAATGGGTGGAACCTCAAAGCCACAAAAGTGGAAGAGGGGGGGGGGGGGGAATAGGCGGAAACGGATGAGTGAATTGAATTTGTTGCAGATTGTGACAGCTCCGTGTGGAAGGCCTGTTTGTTAAAGATTGGATTTTGATAGAGCATTTTCACATCTGACTTTACAGATCTTTGTCCAATGAATGTTTTTATCCAGTTTAGCATGTAATGCTTAGTACCAATCTTTGCCAATTTTAGAATTAGCTTCTCTTTCCATACTAAGTCATGTGCTGATTTGAAGTCGACGAATGCAGCCGCAAGAGTATTTTTTGCATCAAACGCGTGTTTGATGTGTTGGGAGAAAGTGGCAACTTGTTGGTTAGTTGATCTTTGTGGCCTAAATCCTGCTTGTTCACTCCTAAGAATATAGTTGGTCTCAAGGAACCAGGTCAGTCTCCTGTTAACCATTCTTTCCATAACTTTTGCCATCACGCTTGTGAAGGAGATAGGCCTATATTTGTCAAAGCTGCTAGGGTCTTTGCCCTTATTTTGTACCGGTATTACTATGGCGACTTTCCATTGGTTAGGTACGAGACCGGTCTGCCATATTTTGTTGAAAAGCGCCAGCATGGTTTCCTTGGGTGTTTTGTTGTAAAGCGTCAGCATGGTTTCCTTAGCTTTTGGTACACATAATTAGAAATTCCGGATGAATACCGTCTTTGCCAGGAGAAAATTAGAAATTCCAGATGAATACCGTCTTCGCCAGGAGACCTTTTGCACTTGAGGTGTTTTATGGCAGCATTAAGTTCGCAAGGTCTGAATGGTTCAGTAAGAAAGGTCTGCATGGTTCAGTAAGTACATTATTTGGTGTTGGAAGATCGGAAATGGTTCAGTAAGTACATTATTTGGTGTTGATGAAGGTCTGAATGATTCAGTAAGTACATTATTTGGTGTTGCTGGCAAGGTCTGAATGGTTCAGTAAGTACATTATTTGGTATTACCGTGTCTTCCTTAATTTCACCAAACTGTCTTACTTGTATCTTTAAATCTCATGAAGATTTTATGACAAAAGGGTTTTTCTTTTGCTTGTGGGAGGAGAACCTCGCAAAGCAGTTAGCTATTTCGGTGTCGGTGTATTGGAGGTTATCCAGTAATTTGAAAGTGCGTTGGCTATCACTTTGATAGTTGATACGTGAGGTATCACTTTGATACTTGATATTTGAGATGAACTTGTCGAACGCTTTGATAGTTGATATTCGAGATGAACTTGTCGAAGTAAGTTTCATAGTTGATATTTGAGATGAAGTTGTCGAAGGAAGTCCGTAATAGCTGATATTTGAAATGAACTTGTTGAAGGAAGTCCGGTTTAGTTGATATTTGAGATGAACTTGTCGAAGGACGTCCGTTTTGCTTCTAAGATGGCTTGCCTTAGGACAGCTGATTGTCGTCTCCAGGTTTGTACGCGTTCTTCCAGTCTGATCAGCAGTTTTGCGAAGGGCGTCGTTCTTCCAGTCTGATCAGCAATGTTGCGAAGGGCGTCCCACTTTCTTTTCAGTTCCTCAAGGTGCGGCGTCCCGCTTTCTTTTCAGTTCCTCAAGGTGTTTTGACTCCGTTCTTCCAGTCAGATCAGCAGTGTTGCGAAGGGCGTTTGTTCTTCCAGTCTGATCAGCAGTGTTGCGAAGGGCGTCGCGCTTCCAGTCTGATCAGCAGTGTTGCAAAGAGCGTCCCTCCCAGTCTGATCAGCAGTGTTGCGAAGGGCGTCCCTCTTACACTGATCAGCAGTGTTGCGAAGGGCGTCCCGCTTTCTTTTAGCTTCCTCAAGGTGTTTGGACCAAAACACTCGATAGTGTTTATCCTCAAGGTGTTTAGACCACCTAGATAGTGTTTAGTTTTGCCTCGGGGAATAGTTTTCTTTGCACACGTAATATTTGGTAGTTTTCTTTGCACACGGATCATAATATTCGTGATATCATTGCAAAGTTTGTCAGGATGTTGATTGAAGTTGAGGGGACTTGTACGAAGTTCATTGTCTGTAAGGTTTGTGAATCTAGGCCAGTCAGCCTTCTTGAAGTTCTATGATAGCTTAGTTGGCATTTTCCATGTCATGCATTTGCTGCCGATGTTAATACTAGCAATGACTGGTTTGTGACCAGAACCAGGATCATCAATTATTTTGCGGCGTGTATGCTCGCTGATGTCGCTTGAAACCAAGAGTAGCAAACATTTTAGAAATCTAGCTATCGACAGAGAGACACAACTAGCTTCAAGCAGTCATCTGGAATCACTTGCCCTCAAAATTAGCCAGTCTTTGTCCAACTTAGTGAAAAACAGGAGGTATCCTGTGGTGGGGGCTATTTATTCTAGTATGCTTTAATAGCCTCGTGCGTTTATTTGATTCATCATATTAGCCATTGTCGCGCCTGCAGTCTACCATTAATCGAGTGCTTATTTAAGTTTGCATATTTGATTTTAGCATATTTACTATTGTCTGAGAATTGAAGTTTGGTAATGCATAAATATTCATTAATTTTACGCTTTAACCTAAATAGTACCAATCGCACTTTATTACTACTACGAGGTGAGTGAAAATTTTTCAGACAAATGTCTTATCTTTAAAAGAACAAAGATTTACAAGTTCGAACTTATATATTTGTTGAGTTTTCCGAATGACATACAACTGCCCAGTAAGTGTTTGTAAGGTCAGGACCAAGACAGATTGCATCACAAAATAGCTATCGATTTCCAACCTCTCAAGTGGCAAATTTTGAGATCAGAGCTAAGATAAATCCTTCACTAAACGAAATTGGAAACCTGTTCAGACCATGAAAGCCTTAGAACTGGCTAATGGAAACTCTGTGTCGTGTGGAGCGCTATAAACAGAGAAGAGTTCAACTTGATGATGATCCATCGCAGTGGAACAAGATGGACCCGTTGCCATTAAGGAAATTGCCAATGAAGTAGGAATGCGTGGACAGGGAGTGTCCCAAAAGCGTTGTAGGAACAACTACTAATTCGAGGAGGTGGACTTTCTTTAACAACTTTGGGAAAGAGGGAATCGAATGAGAATAATTGCTAAGGGCTGTGCTACCGGAGATGAAGCCAGGTTCACCAATTTAATCCCTATAGTCCAGACCCTTCCTTGTCAGACTTATCGCTTCCAAAATGGCAAGAATGCCTAAGGAAGACTCGATTTTCGTCTTTAGATGAAGCGGAAAAAGCATGTAATTTCATGGTGCCGGAGTCAGTGTACACAATTTGACTATAAGGCAATTTAGAGATGGAATCATAAACTTCAAAGTTGTGTAGATCACATTGGATCCTATGTAGAAAATGATCGTAACCACTTGTTAAATAAATTGTGGTATTTATCTGAGATATTTCTCACTCACTCTCCAATAAAGTAGATGTATTTATTTATATCAAATGGCAGGCGTTGTAAGATGTTATCATTAGCGCTTTAGTTGACCTCAGGCTTCACCGAGGAGGAACATCAAAGTGAAACAAGTCCAGGGTGTACCATGGGGACATTTATTTATATCAAATGGCAGGCTTTATGATATTTATCATTAGCCCTTAGTTGACTTCAAGCTTCACAGAAGGGAAGGAATATCAAAGTGAAAAAAGTCGAGAGGAGGGGGGAACAGAAGAGTGTTTCAATGATGTAAGAGACAGACACAAACAATGAACAAAGGTGAGGTGAGTACTGCGGAATGAAGTAGAGCAAAGGTGAGGTGAGTACTGTGGAAGGGGTCGAATTTGACATACAGTGGGGTGATGGTAGTTTGAAGTGAGAAGTCGAAGAGAAAAGGTAAGATGAGTACTGTTGAAGTGGTCGAATTTAAGAAAAAAGGTGAGGTGAGTACTGTGAAATGGTCGAATATGGACAAAGGTGAGGTGAGTACTGTAAAAATAGTCGAATATGATATAGAGTGGGGTGATGGTAGTTTGAAGTCAGAAGTCAACTGCCGATCAATAGACTTTTTGCAAGTCAGAAGTCAACTGCCGATCAATAGACTTTTTTGTCTTTGAAGTCAGAAGTCAACTACCGTACAGTGGGGTCATGGTAGTTTGAAGTGAGAAGTCAACTGTAGGTGAGGTGAGTACTGTGGAAGTAGTCGAATATGACACAGTAAGGTAAGATGATTACTGTGAAAGGGGTCGAATATGACATAAGTGAGGTGATGGTAGTTTGAAGTGAGAAGTCAACTGCCTTAGTCGAATATGACATACAGTGGGGTCAGAGTCAACTGAAGGTAGAAAAAAGGCGAGGTGAGTACTGTGGAAGTGGTGAAATATGACATACAGTGGGGTGATGGTAGTTTGAAGTCAGAGGTATATGACATACAGTGGGGTGATGGTAGTTTGAAGTGAGAAATAGGTAGAAAAAAGGTGAGGTTAGTACTGTGGAAGAAGTCGACAGTAGAGCAAAGGTGAGGTGAGTACTGTGGAAGGGGTCGAATTTGACATACAGTGGGGTGATGGTAGTTTGAAGTGAGAAGTCGAAGAGAAAAGGTAAGATGAGTACTGTTGAAGTGGTCGAATTTACGAATATGGCATAGAGTGGGATGATGGTAGTTTGAAGTCAAGTAGTCGAATTTGACATACAGTGGGGTGATTGTAGTTTGAAGTCATGTCAAATGCCGGTTAATAGACTTTTTTGCCGTATGAGAATGTAGGACATATAGGGGGGTCATGGTAGTTTGAAGTGAGAAGAAAACTGCCGGTTAATAGACTTTTTTGCCGTATGCGGAGAAGTCAACTACCAGTTAATAGACTTTGCCGTTGAAGTCAGAAGTCAACTGCCGGTTAATAGAATTTTTTTGCCGATAGTGAGAAGTCAACTGCCGGTTTATAGACTTTTTTGCCGCTTTGAAGTCAGAAGTCAACTGCCGAATAATAGACTTTTTTATTTGGTAGTTTGAAGTGAGAAGTCAACTGCCAGTTAATAGACATAGAAGTCAACTGCCAGTTAATAGATCTTAGTTTGAAGTGAGAAGTCAACTGCCAGTTAATAGACTTGTACCGTTAAAGTAAGATGAGTACTTTGAAAGGGGTCGAATATGACATACAGTGTGGGTGATGGATACTGTAAAAGTGGTAGAATACGGCATTCAGTGGGGTTAGTACTGTGGTAGGGGTCGAATATGACATACAGTGGGGTGGTGGCGTACTGTGGAAGGGGTCGAATATGACATACAGTGGGGTGAGCTACTGTGGAAATAGTCAGAAGTCAACTGCCGATTAATAGACTTTTTGATTTTCAGTCAGAAGTCAACTGCCGGTTTATAGACTTTTTTGCCGTTTGAGTAGTCAGAAGTCAACTGCCGGTTAATAGACTTTTTTGTGAAGTGAGAAGTCAACTGCCAGTTAATAGACCTTTTTGCGTTGAAGTCAGAAGTCAACTGCCGGTTAATAGAATTTTTTTGCCGATAGTTTGAAGTCAACTGCCGGTTTATAGACTTCGAATATGACATAGAGAAGTCAACTGCCAGTTAATAGATCATGGTAATTGAAGTCAGAAGTCAACTGCCGATTAATAGACTTGGGGTCATGATAGTTTGAACTCAGAAGTCAACTGCCAGTTAATAGACTTACTCATGGTAGTTTGAAGTCAACTGCCAGGTAATAGACTTTAGTTTGAAGTGAGAAGTCAACTGCCGATTGATAGACTTTTATTTGAAGTCAGAAGTCAACTGCCAGTTAATAGACCTTTTCAGTCAGAAGTCAACTGCCGGTTTATAGACTTTTTTGCCGTTTGAGTAGTCAGAAGTCAACTGCCGGTTAATAGACTTTTTTGTGAAGTGAGAAGTCAACTGCCAGTTAATAGACCTTTTTGCGTTGAAGTCAGAAGTCAACTGCCGGTTAATAGAATTTTTTTGCCGATAGTGAGAAGTCAACTGCCGGTTTATAGACTTTTTTGCCGCACAGTGGAAGTGGTCGAATATGCCATACAGTGAGGTCACGGTAGCTTGAAGTCAGAAGTCAACTGCCGATTAATAGACTTTTTTGCCACATGCAGTCAGAAGTCAACTGCCGGTTTATAGACTTTTTTGCCGTTTGAGTAGTCAGAAGTCAACTGCCGGTTAATAGACTTTTTTGTGAAGTGAGAAGTCAACTGCCAGTTAATAGACCTTTTTGCGTTGAAGTCAGAAGTCAACTGCCGGTTAATAGAATTTTTTTGCCGATAGTTTGAAGTCAACTGCCGGTTTATAGACTTCGAATATGACATAGAGAAGTCAACTGCCAGTTAATAGATCTGGTCATGGTAGTTTGAAGTCAGAAGTCAACTGCCGGTTTGTGTGAGTACTGTGAAAATGATCGAATATGACATGGAGTCAGCGAGTACTGTGGAAGTAGTCGAATATGACATACAGTGGGGCGAGTGCTGTTGAAGGGGTTGAATATGACAAGCAGTCGGGCTGATTGGTAGTTTGAAGTGAGAAGTCAACTGCCGGTTGATAGACGTAGTTTGAAGTCAGAAGTCAACTGCCGGTTGATAGACTTGATGGTAATTGAAGTCAGAAGTCAACTGCCGATTAATAGACTTGTCATGGTAGTTTGAAGTCAACTGCCAGGTAATAGACTTTAGTTTGAAGTGAGAAGTCAACTGCCGATTGATAGACTTTTATTTGAAGTCAGAAGTCAACTGCCAGTTAATAGACCCCGTATGAATATACGTTGCCCAGGGTGCACCACGTGGAGGAAAGTCTATCGCACACCCATGTGGGCATAGATTGTGGAATACGTCATGACTTAACGCATGATCGAATGCACGTTCAAGCAATGGCCAATCAGAGGCTTTCGTTTGTTTAAGCATATCTGCCGAGTTGATTATTACTGCCCTTATGGCATGTACACTTTATCCACAATACAC